CTTATATGGTGTTTTTAGGGTGGTAATTATACTAATCTGTCCTCAAGCAGCTGATCCACATTCATGAATTTACGCAGCTCGTTTACACACGTTTCCTGAAGATAGAAGAGTTTGTTGAATCTGACGTGACATGTTCGTACGAACCCTTTGTACGAACAAAAGGAAGAGAAATTTAGGAGAAGAATACGAACATGTTCTTGCATGAGGCCCATTGTGAGTATGACTCAGCACTCTATGAGTAAAATTGTGACAGTTGAAGTTTTTCTCTGTTTTGGTTGGTTCCTGGCACTAAATACCTGCAGATGATCATCCTGATGAGCTCCTGGGGCTCACTCTGGTATTTTCTGGAGCTTTAAACCTTCATGTCAGTGTCTTGCAGCAGATCAGTTTGTTGTTTACCTRAGTTACTTACCTTGTGTTCACCTGTGTCTCCTCAATGGTTTTACCTCGACACAATCTGCTTTTGCCTGCCTCCTTGTGCTTACCTTCTGGAAGGATGTCGACACTCAGTCTGCCTGGAAACTCTCCTGTGTTCCTGCCTTCTGGTCTCTCTGCCTGAAGAAACACTCAGCTGTTGGTTGGTCCTCTCCAGGATGCCTGTAAGAGAAAGAGAAGAACATTCCTCAAAACCTGGACTCACCTTGCTTCTTCCACTCTTTCAKACCTGGATCAACCCCACATCAGTAAATAAACTTCACTTACCTTATCTGTCCCTGTGTCTGTTTCCTCGTTCTGCTCACATCTTGACATGTTCTGGTTCTTGTCCAACAGGAATAATCAGGGCACTAACATCTATTTAAAAGAAGTCTGTCCGAAAGATTTTGTAGAGGGGATAACTAAAGACAATAAATAAAGTATGTTGTTATTCATCACCAGTCACTGTTTAACAACTGTGTCAGTTATGCAGGGGACAGTATCACACCAGCACTGACAGGAGATCCAGGGAGAACCAGAGTTCTGAAGGACGTGTTACCTGATCAGACAGATCCACAGATGACCACTCCGAAGATAAATGTGTCTGAGTGTTGTGTAGGGACTGGACCTCTAAACTGGGTTAGTTTCTGTTACAGATTTTTAAATGAATGTTGCAACATCAAAAACTCAGTCTGTTTCATTGTTACACAGTAACACAATCACATTTAACAAATGTGACGATGAATGGCAATGATGACAAATAAAGCAACTTTACCTTTAACATCCAGTGGGTCGTTGTGTTGGGCCTTCCTTTGGAACCATTCAGATTCTGTCTTTTCAAGATGAAGACATGACCTGTTGTCTGCAAGAAACTCTGAGAGAGAGGAGTTCAGAGGTTAGGTGTTGAGTTTACATCCATCCATCCATCTATCATCCATCCATCCATTCATCCATCCATTCGGCCTGTCTGCAAGCCAGCCATTTTTAAGTTGCTTTTCCAAGGTCAGGGCATGGAGGCAGCAGACTAAAGAGGTTCTGGGTCTCCCCTGGGGTCTCTCATCCTCAAAAGGATGTGCACAAAACACTTCTAAAGAGGTGGTGACCAGAAAGCATCCTGACCAGGTGTCTGACCAACCACAGCTGACTCACTTCAACTACTTTGAGCTCCACCAGAAAAAACAAAACTCCTCAGTCTGTCTTCAACCTTTGAGCCTGGTCAACCTATGAAGGAAGCTCATTTCAAGTCATTTGTGTCCAGTATGTACTTTTTTGTGTTGTTGTTCATGGTCTTTAAGCAATGACAATATGAAAGGGTTCCACAGCTGTCTAAGCTATTTCTTTTTACAAGAATACAGCAATGTCTGTATTACTGCCGTTGAAGTTCTGATCCTTACACCCATGCATGGGGTGGACTGGCATATAAGTCTACTGCAGCTTTTGCGGAGTTAAAGAACCTCCAGTCAGCTGATCTGCTCAGAGCACRGCCAGCTGTGGAGTGGAATTAAGGACCACATAAACAGTAACTCCCTGTTTTTCTCTCACATCCAACAGAGATATGTAGTAGATGTGTAGTGCTGTGGCTCCAGCTCATGATACCTCTGTGGAACAGCACCTGTCAATCACCAGGGGTGCAACAAATGAGGGTGGCAAGGAGGGGCTATGACCCAGTTTCCTCTCACAGACCAGAAGCTTGCACTTTAGCTTCAGTGGTACACACTGCAGGTCTCAAACAAATGCTTGTTTTGTAAATATAATCATTTTGAATRAAATCATGTTCAAGTCTGAGTAACTTAAACACAGCATTTGAAAGTGGGCCTGGTGATTTTTATTTTTTTTTGTTCATTTTTGTTCCATTCTCTGAGGAGTAAGATACATTTTCCTTCTCTCCTGCCCTTCCTTATATCTCCTGTTTTGCTGCTTGGAGCCTTTTCTA